TATAAGTTGTGTCATTAGATTCGTCTAAATTGTGGAAGTGATATAGGGTATGGCATTTTTTCTTTTTAGAAAAACTTTTTTCACGCAGTTGGGTTTTTCAAATTACTGTTTATTACTTTGAGCTTGTTACCTCTGCACATTCATAACAGGACTCTTATTCTCCTCATGAGTCTGTGGAGTAAGCAGCAGTACTTGCACTGCTGTGACTGGTCTGAAGAGTGTAGATTGCCTGTATTATTACAGGTGATGAAACATTTCATCTTAGTCCTCAGAGGTGAAAACGTATCTGTAGCTTTCTTTGTTTAAAATTGGGCTACAGGTGTCCCTGGACTGTAAAGCCAATAACCATCAGGTGAACTGTAAGCTCGTTTGTCACTTGTTTTATAAATAAAATAACGTTTCGAGGAGGTCTTCCGTTGTCCTCCCCAATTGCTTGGGTATAATTAATATACTTGGCTGGCGGATCACTGAACGCAGTAGCAGATGACTTGCACCTTAGATTCTGTACTCCACCGTCGGTATGGATATTTATAATACATGTTTTTTTATATAGGATAGGGTGACAAACGAGCACACAGTCCACCTGATGGTAAGTGGTTGCTGCGGCCCATAGACATCTACATCGATCCTCTATTACAAATCAAAATGCAGAAGAGTTGTCACCCGTGAGGACTAAGATGGAATGCCTCATTTCCAGTAAAAAGGGTCTCCGGTTCTCTACACTCACCATACGAAACACTGTTAAGCTACTATTTTACGCTGGTATTCTATTCTGTGAGAGCGTGGTCCTTCCCCGGTTGAGCCGACCCATTCGTACAACAACTATACTACTTATAGCTGCAGCATGGCTCTACCACGTGCATACCACGTGCATAACGCATGTGTTAATTATTGAATGATAGTTTGCCATCTGTCGGAGGCGAAAAGTAATTTCTGACCTTTGTTGTCGTCTCTCATGACACCCACGCTATATGCGTGGTTCTTTGTCAAGCTGACACATTCGAGATCCAGCCATTACACAGCTGCAACGTATCTTTATCATGTAAAAATGCTTAAGGTCTAGGTATCAGCAACTAAAATACTTTCTTGAATGGTATTATCAGTCTACTATCGTCGATTCAAAGAACTGGTCTTCTTGATAATTACGTACCTAATAAAGGTAAAATCGCAAGTAGATACTTTTAAAGATTTAGTAGAAAATAAGTATATATTAGTTATATATATATATTACTAATATATACTTATTTTAGAGGTGTTATATATAGAAATAAATGCTTGTCTTTTAATTAATTCTATCTTAAACATTTAAAAATAGAATGTTTATCTCACTCAACTCAACTTTTAAAAGACTTGACCGTGGAAGGGTTACGCCCACACAGTCTACCAACGTGAAAAGCAGAATAAAAAATGCTGCTGTATTTTATAAGGTGAGTGACGATTACTGGAGTTCCTATTTGCTGGTAATAAGGTATTCAATTTTATTGCTTAGAGGTCCAACGTATTTGTATTTTGATTTTTAATCGAGGATAGATGTGAGTGCCTATGGGCTGTATCAAGCTACCATTAGGTAGATTGTGTGCTCGTTCGTCATCAATATTTTTATTTAAAAGACACTTTTTACGACAGTTCCATCTGAAACTAATTAAATATAGCATACAGATTAGGCAAAGTGGGTACTCAAGTTGTGCCCAAGCACATAAAATGTTAAATTGTATTACACTAAAATGGCGATTGCCGCCTACAGGTATTTGGGGCCAACTAATGTAGGTACTAAATGATTAATATGTAAACTAAATATTAATAAATATTGTATAATATATAGAAACACCTACCATATAAATATTGAATATAAAACACTGTGCGGTACATAATATGTTGTAAGTCGCTTAATAAGTCTATTAAAAGTTGTCACAATTATTGTTTAAAAGTCCAGCTTTGTTTCTTGCTGGTTCTTCCCAGGACACGTTTTTCCGAATCATTGTTAAAAATATAAATGACTTTCAATAAGCATTACTTGTGATCTACAATATATATTGAATAAACTAATTTATATTCTATTCTATTCTATTGAGAATTGCGATAATAAATGCATTAGTCGCCAGTGTTACTATACAACACTGGCGTCAAATGGATTTGTTTATGTCTAGTAGTAATAGTTATCGGCTATGTGAGCTCGATAGGTCTTTCACCTTATCTCATTCGAATGCCATCCTTGACGAAGCTGGAGATAACGTTAGAAAAGGTTTAGGATTTACAGATGACAATCAGACAGTAAAAACAGTAGCATACGTGGCTTGAGCTGCTTGAGCTAAATATGCTGCACCGCACCCACCCTCCCCCTGATTTCCGAAAGTATCTTTAAAATATTTTTTATTAATTTTTTACGTGGTAGAGCCATGCTGCAGCAATATTGTTGTAGCACGAATGGGTCGGCTCGACCGGGGAATGAACACGCTCTCACAGAATACCATCGTAAAATAGCAGCTTAATGCTGCTGTGTTTCGTATGGTGAGTGTAGAGAACCGGAGACCCATTTTACTGGAAAAGAGGCATTCTACCTTAGTCCTCACGGCTGACAACGCATCTGCATTTTAATTCGCAAATGAAGATAGATGTAGATGTCTATGGGCCACGGCAACCAATTACCATCAGGTGGACTGTGTGCTCGTTTGTCACCCTTATTCTTTAAAAAAAAATGAAATCGGCAAAAGTCTTTTTGTACAGACTATCTATAGTTCTAGAACTTCTTATATTTTATATTTTGATAAAAAAGCCTATTCTGTAAAATCTACTTTTATATTTTTCCAAAAAAAACCAACATTACATGTAAAACTTTCCGTGGCTTTGAAAAATTATTGAAGTGTAAGTTACTCAACAAAATTCTTACGTCATGATTCCCGCCAAATTCATAATATGTAACAGAAGCTTGTTAAAAATGTTATTGCGAGACACTTCAATTAAAAATAATATAATCATTTATCCCATCTTCATTTAAAAAAAAACGTAGAAGATTATATTTTGATTGATTTTAATATGAGATATCCTAGAAAGAGCAGCCACAAATAAATAATGTAACATGAGATAACTATTAACTATAATATATAAAACATAAAACACATACTCGTATATAGCAGACCGCAGCAAATTTTTTATAGAATAAGGGTGACAAACGAGCACACAGTCCACCTGATGGTAAGTGGATGCTGTGGCCCATAAACATCTACATCTATCCTCGATTAAGAATGACAACGCATCTGTAGCTTTCTTTGTCAATCAAAATGCAGATGCGTTTCATCCCTGAGCACTGAGATGGAATGCATCATATCTAGTAAAAATAGTCTCCGGTTCTCTACACTCACCATACGAAATACAGCAGAATTAAACTGCTATTTTACGCTGGTATTCTGTGAGAGCCTGGTCTCTCCCGAATTTCCGATACATTCCGATCGAGCCGACCCATTCGTGTTACAACCATTGAGTTTTATGTACTGTGTAGTACATATATATCGATGGTTACAACCATAATATAGCAGCAGCATGGCTCTATCACGTTAAAAATAAACCTTGACAAATATTCCTCCTGATGTAATATATAGGGGAGGCCTATTTCAACAGTGGACTTGACTGTAATTAGTTAATGAATTGTACTGTAAATACTTAGTTGCTTATAGGATTGAAGTTAAATTTAAATTAGGTAATGCTAAAAGAAATTTTCAACAAACAAAAATGTCACTTTGTATTACAACTTTATTACTCATTTATGTTTTTGTACCTACTAAAACGCATTCCTCGAAATTTAAGCTTTATTTTTGAGACAGAAAGATCTATTTTACACAACGATGTGAAGAAATGTAATATGCAAAACATTCTGTTTAATATTAAAGTATGCGGCCTTGAACTATAGATGGTTGTATTTGAAAGCGATTAGTTTTTCTTTTCTTTTTATTTTATATTATTCCAGTCAGGTGTTTGTAGCGATATGTCTTAAAATCACCAATTAACATTTGTATATTTAATCTGTGACATTAATTTAATATAATAAAGTTGATTTTAAAATTGATTCTTTACGTGGTAGAGCCACGCTGCAGCTATATTATGGTTGTTGCACGAATGGGTCGGCTCCACCGGGGTAGAATACCAGCGTAAAATAGCAGCTTAATGCTGCTGTGTTTCGTATGATGAGTGTAGAGAATCGGAGACGCTTTTTACTGGTAACCAGGACTGTGTGCTCGTTTGTTACTCTTAATCTATAAAAGTAGATTATAATAATTAAATATTACGCTCAAATTAGCTTTAGTTTTAGGTTTCTTTCACGCTATGAGCACGAGAGAATTTCTTTTTGCAAAATTATAAACAATTATATTCAATATAAACAAAAGCAATGCCGGAGTAATTCATAGTATAAAATGTCTTTCGAAAGGGCCATTGCGTGAGCACGAATGTCACACAATATCATCGAAATGTCTTTCTATTGCATAAACATTTATAACCTTAAGGGCCGGTTTTAAATAATCAGATATAATAAGTTATTCATAGGATAAAAATCAAAATAAAAATGTTTGCTATGTGAATAAAATATTTTTAAGTTTTATATTTAGTTAAATTAAAATTGATTTGATGAATAATTTTTATCTGACAGTTGAAAAATCAGATATTTTCCTTATCTATCAAGAACGTTATAAGTCAGTACACAAACAGTAAAAACACCTGATGGTGACACAGAAATGTCTATGGTAGACCTCATAGACATCTCTGAGGTCCTAGTCGTCCTTCTTACGTCAGACCTAAATGCCCAGACTGTGAGAAGAGAGAAATCTGTTCTGGTTTTGAAATCGTCAATCTGTCTCCCAAGCATACGGCGATTAGAGCAAACTCATTCCATAATTAAAGAGGTCATTAAACTTTACTACTGAATAAATATTTCGTCAACTGGGGCCTTGTTAATAAGTATGATCCCATCTCAAACATTAAAATAATATAGTTTGTTTTGTTTCAGAACAATGAAGCCACTACTACGAACAGTGGCGGCAATATGCCTCATTCTTACCACACACGCTCTCCCAGAGAACATCGAGGATGTTAAGGAGCTACCGCAGAGTAAAGAGCCGGTGGTAGAGGCCGAAGAATCAGCACCTCAAGCGAGAGCAGAGCGCTGCACCTCTTGTTCCTCCACTATTAACCTGAGTTCTAAGTCGCCACAGGATATTATTGCAGCGCTGCAAACGCTTCCTGGTGGCGCAGTACACACGCAGCAATCTTTCGAGGGCTGCTCGAGTAGCAAGGGCTGCGCTGGCATTAAATACCAAGACGGTAAAGTCACTAATAAGTTTGGAAACTTGAACGCGTTTGGTGGAGAAAATGCTTTCAAAGCCGGTTCGTCTTTCGGTAGCAATTTGCTCAACGGTCAAATTTCCAACAAACCGTTCTGGTGGATGGGCGACAACTCACCCTTCAATAATTTAAACTCCGGTAATTTCGAAACTAAAACCTCGAGTTCAGGTTTTACCAGTAACAGCGGAGGTAAAGGACAATCGACATACGAAACTTCGTCATCCTCTTTCCAGTCAAGTCAGGAAGGAGGAATTGACGTTGCTAACAATCCATTCCTCAATGGTAACATTAACTTTGGACAATCTGGTTTCGCGGCTGGTCAAGGCAGTGGGTTCGCCTCTGGCTCTCAAGGCGCTGGTAGCTCCTTCCAGAGCGGATTCGGTACTGGACAATCCACATACTCCGGAAGTGGCAGTAACAAGTTCTCCGGAGCAGGCTACACCGGTTCTTCACCCAGGCCATTCGCAACCAGCACTGGCTCCAATGTGAACCTGATACAGAACACACAGAAAGTGAACGAGTACGACTTTGATCAGACACAACAGGCTGTGAACGGGGACATATTCAGCGAAACCTCGAACGTCAACATCCAAGGACAGACCGACGGGGACCTGCAGCAGACTTGCACCGGTCAGGGCTACGTCTGCGTCCTCAAGTCTCAGTGCATCAATGGAATTGTGAACACCAACGGCGCTGGTATTCTCCAGACTAGAGACAAGGTATGAATTTCATAATACATTTGACGTGCACATTTCTTAAGATGAATTAATGGGGGTTAATATTCTTAGGCTCACCAGATGTCGCTAGTTGCAACTAAGATAAACTTATTTATTACACAGATGGTCACAGTGTCATTGCCATTAAAAAGTTGTATTATAAATAAAAGTTTTTCGGTTTCTAGCACAAAACAATGCCTCAGCGCTGTATTTCTTATTTTTTAGGGACACATTTTTAACTTTTTTTAATCTTCTACATTTAGCAATATCATTAGCTTGGTTTTTTCATTTCTTATCTAACTAATATTCTTCCTACTTCCTCCGCTATGAAATCCGTCAAATATTTCACCTCATTCCAGTGGCGCCGCCCTGATGGCTAAGAAATCGTGGAATAAATTTACATTTTAAATAATAATAGCATTTCTTTGTTATCTTTTGAAATATTTACTAAACATTGCCAAAATACCGACGAGAGCATCGCACCTGGTCAACTGTCCTTGCATTCCTAACTCTTTATGGTGTAATAAGTATAAAAGAAACGATTAAGTTTCAATACAAAAAGGTCACGCGTGTTTGACTTCATAAATGTCATAATCAGCCGTGAAAAGGTCGCCATATTTAAAATGCGCCATCTTTGATTCGACGACTTAAAAATATTACTTATATTATTGACATATTTCTGCAATGGACTCGCGGCGGTGGCGGAGTACAAAGATAGCAATCTAGAGAAATGACTAATGTATTTTGAAATGATACATCTTGCGAAAATTAATCAACAATAGGCGCTAAAAGGTGACGATCTCTGTATTAATAGGCTGTGTTCTCAGACCAATAAAGACAGAACACTCTTACTGTACTCTTATTGTAAGAACACGCACTTGATAGAATAGGTACATAATATATAGGATAGGGCTTTGATATGCTGTATTTTATCTTACTGTATGTATGTAGATAAATATGCGCATTTAAAAGGAATACCCGTGATAATGACGGTGATAGATACTGCAAATTATTTTATTCGTTTTGGTACCTTTGGTCAACTTACTGTGAGGAATTTAATGATAAACTACAATAGAAAATGTTTTTTTTAAATTACTTGACGATAGCTAAAGCCAAAATCTAATCGTTCGAATCTATAATAAATAAAAACACAAAATTTTAATAACCGTGAATAGTGTTGCAACTGCAGAACTCTATGTTTGGAATAGTAATTGATTATTATTTGCATATTTTTTACTTTTGGTTTATAGTTCGTAACTGGAATTCACACGTAAACAATTATGTGCCAGCCTGTTTTAAAATAAACATTATTTTGTGTTTTCCGAAGCTTTGCGAGCACTTTTCTATACGTGGTAAAGCCATGCTGCAGCTATACTAGTAGTATAGTTGTAGGACGAATAGGTCGGCTCGATCGGGGAAGGACCACGCTCTCACAGAATACCAGCTTAAAATAGCAGCTTAACACTGCTGTGTTTCGTATGGTGAGTGTAGAGATCCGGAGACCCTTTTTACTGGAAAAGAGGCATTCCATCTTAGTCCTCACGGGTGACAACGCATCTGCATTTTGATTCTCAAACGAGGATAGATGTAAATGTCTATGGGCCACAGAAACCACGTACCATCAGGTGGACTGTGTGCTCGTTTGTCATCCTATCCTATAAAAAAAACTGTAGGAATGCTAAGAATTTGACATTTTGTTATTGAACAGAGCTCAAGTACAAGGTAGCCTGGGTTTTCTTTCTTTTGAGAGAAACATGATTGTTATTTAGTGACGTATAAGTGATTAAATAAAAGCGATCACCGAGATATGCACGCAAAGAATTGGGTAGTGCACGATTGAATAAAAAAGTGAATGTGTTAGGGTGAGTGTGGACGCGTGGACAGGAGGGACGATATAACTCTCCTGCAAGTCGAACACACGAGATGCCTAAGACCATGTCCAGGCGGACATCTAAGCAGAAACGAAGTCCTACCACTTAGTAACATACAAGTTCATACTAATGTTGCAATTGTAGTCAATCCATCATTAGATATTGCTTATACTCCTACAGGCCATTCGCTATTGAGATATCGGCAGTACTTGCTTTATATGCACGAAAAAACCTACTTTAATAATTATTAAAGACAGAGGCTTTATCCGAACCAGTGGTCAAGCTTAACGTTGACTTTCAATAAGTTTTCTTGTAATTTACATTAAATGAAGATAATTCTATTCTATTCTATTATATAGTATCAATAAAATGTTACACCTTAACATAAAGTGTTACACCTTAAAGTAAAAGCGAAGGTGAAACGTCTTAAATATGTACAGTCATTAAATTGGTATTTATAGTTGGTATTTGTATTATATCGATAGAATAGGTGGGCATTTAATTGTTAGTAGGGATGTCGAAATACAAAACTGCAGGCTTGTCAACACTTACGTCATGTAGGTGGCTCTGGGAGACTTGTAAGACTTTGTATGTAGTGAAAATGAAAAATGAAAAATATGTTTAATTTTTTTTAATAACTTTTTTATTAAGAATTTTGGCTTGGATACTTGCCCTTTAAACCATGTCTTAATTTTCTGTATCATGTGATAATGATCCTTTATAGTACACTGCTTCACAATATGTTGCGTCACATTGCGTAGTTTTTGGGATATTTTGAGGGCGACTTGAGCAAGCCGATAATTGACGATAGTATCTCAAGGCGCCTAAGCAGGCAGACACCTTATCTTGAGATTCACATCTCTTCAAACCATTATTTAAACAATAATACAGGAGCAGCGATCCGCCGCCGGTCAATTTCCCGCCAAACTGCAATATTTATTTCTACAGCTAAGGTGGTAAAGAATATCATATACTTACATTATAAGATAATAAAATAGAAGTAAAATTGTCTTTTTTCTCTAGATCTAAATCTCACAATATAGCGTCTGGTTGTTGCCATATAGAATTTTTATTAATTTCATGTCTTTAGTGATACTCACAAGATTGAGACAAATCGATTAATGTTTAAATCTAGTCCAGTTCAATCCCCAGAAGACACAAGTTTGCGCGTTTACTGCTAAAAAGAACCCCTTTGTCGTATCCCCTCAGTTTCAAGGTACTCCGCTTGTTGCCTCAGCCAGTATCGGAATCCTTGGTGTCAACATATCGAGTGACGTGCAGTTTCGTGGTCACTTGGAAGATAAGGCCAAATTGGCCTCTAAAAAACTTGGCGTGCTCAGCACAGCGGGACAGTATTTCATGCCGGCACAACGCTTGCAACTTTACAAGGCGCAGGTTCGGCTTCACATGGAATACTGTTCCCATCTCTGGCTCTCCAGTGCCAGCTCCTTCCACTTGACCACATCCAGCGCAGAGATGTTCGAATCGTCGACGACAGAGTTCTTTCCGATCGGCTTGACTCACTGGCACTGCGTAGAGATGTTGCAGCTCTTTGCCTATTTTATCGCGTCTATCACGGGGAGTGCTCTGAGAAATTTTTCGGACTAATTCCAGCCGCTCAATTTCACCATCGCACATCGCGACAAAACTTTTTCTTCCTGGCACAACTTCCTTGTGGATTCGATTACCACCAGCAATTTTTCCGGACCGATATGACTTTGGGACTTTCAAGAAAGGAGCCTATTCCTTTTTAAAATGCCGACAACGCATCTGCAATCCCCCTGGTGTTGCAGTTGTTCATGGGCGGCGGTAGTCACTTACTATCAGATAAGCCGCATGCTCGTTTACCCCCTCGCCTATAAAAAAATGTAAGAATCATCGAAATCTGCCCAGGCGTTTGATCTGTAGTACGCCACAAAGGGACATAGATAGATGTGTCAAAACGAACGAACAGACACACATACATACAGAAACGTACGTACCAGCTAAATATGTTAACCTTGTGTTAGGATTTGCCCATAAAGAGCTGAGGTCTTGATATTAAAAAGGTGATGTCAAAGGTTAGATTGTAATCGGCTTGAATGATTTATATTTCGCCTGTATAGGTCATGATAATGTATTAGTATATAATAGTCAAAGTATTTTATAAAATTAATAGTCAAAGTATTTATTGGTAGTGGTAGAGCCACGCGGCAGCTTTTGCTGTCGCACGGATGGGCCGGCTCGAACCGGGGTGGTATCACGACCTCACAGAAAACCAGCGTGAATTAGAGGTTTACCTCTGCGTTTCGCTTGGTGAGTGCAGGTGGCCGGAGGCCCTTTTTACTGGAAATGAGGCATTCCATCTTAGTCCTCACGGGTGACAACGCATCTACATTTTGATTTGTAATAGAGGATAGATGTAGATGTCTATGGGCCGCAGCAACCACTTACCATCAGGTGAAATGTGTGCTCGTTTGTCACCCTTATCCTATAAAAAAAATATACTATTGCTTTCTGGATCTCGACAACGGCGCCACCTACCGGAACCAATTATGAATCTAAACCATACTCGAATCAACTTAATCACACACATAAAATTTCATCAAAATCGGTCCAGCCGTTTAGGAGAAGTTCAGTCACATACACACGGACAGAAGAATTTTGTATATAATTATACATATAAATCGTCCTCTTGAACTATTCTGTCTATTGATGAAAACTGCATTAAAATCTGTTATGCAGCTTAAAATATCTAAGCGTACAGACGGTACTTTGTTTTATACTATGTAGAGAAGCTTGACAAACGAACACACAGTCCACCTTTGCACGAGTTTCGCAATCCGTACCAATTCATTACAACAGTAATCTATAACCGTTAAATCACTAATAAATATTTAAGCCTTACAAGATTAAACATTTTTATGTAATGTGCTTACATGCTATACGGTGGCGGATAAATTAAGACTTCCGCGCAATGGTGGTACACCATCTCGGTTAAAATAATAGTTATATCCTCCAAACCAAATTTTCACGTCACGCAGGACAGGATTAGTGCACGAGTGTATGCGCAAGCACAGGTGCATTCTCTTTTGTTTCTTTTTTCTTATAGTATAGAATAGAATAGAATAGAATAGAATAGAATGATTTTTA